GGCAACCAGTGGAGCAGCACCCCGGCAAAGATGGGAGCCACGAAGAAACTGCGGATAACCCAACGACGGCCTTCCACACATGTACGCATGACCTAGTCGGCAGCTAAGATTGGTGGCGCAAGCGCAAGCGGTGGGTGAGTCAGCCCCTCAGAATCGCAGTAGAGCACAGGATGCTCCGCAACAGCGCCTGCTGCATTGGTCAGGTGTCGACCAGCAGCTCCGGTCAAGAACACCGCCGGGAAGGGCCGCTGGACGGCCTAGTGATGAAGCTGCTTAAGCAGGGTTAGAATCTTAGACCTTCAGGGCAGTAGCATCCTGGAGCTAGCTTGAACGGCCTGAACTTTCCCAACACGGGGAGTTTGAACCGCAAGAAAATGCAGAGGTGGAAAGCTGGAAGCGTGAAGAACTATCGACATACACACGTTAAAGGCAGCAACACTTTCAAAGCAGATATTCTCATGGCAGGCACAGCAGTTTCACGACCCCAGAGTGTGGAAGCTCAACAACGACACTTTCCAACGGAGTGACTAGCGATTTAGGATCCACTTGGCCGAGGTGTCCTGACAAATCTGCCATCGAATTCTTCACGGTTGGGACCCTTAGCATGGCAGCTATCCAACACAATGCTTCCTGACATAGAGACTCTCCGAGGACCGCATTCGTTCCATTGTGGCTGCCTCAGTGATGATTAACTGATCGTAGCGGGAGATCAGTTCCAAAAGATCCTCTTGTTTCAAACGTTTGCACCAGGTGCGTGGTGAGCCGGAGGAGGTCTGGGTGCAACATGTGTGTCAGTTCTCTTTGATGCCAAGGGTCATTGATCATTGGACTCTGATTCAGCGCAATGATTGCATGCATTCCACTGATTGCAGGAAGCTGATCCCTCATCTGCCACGAATTCCTTTCGTCTCGGTCTCAGATATCTGACGCCATGAAGTGGGTATCTGGCATTTACAACCCCTAAGGCTGCCAGCAATGCCAGGCAGGTGTCTTCTGAGTGCCAAGTGTTACATGAAATAATGTCACAAACATGTTCGAAAGATTCCAGAAGGAACGCTCAAAGCCTGGACTGTCAATGCCATTGCATGTCTCTGGTTGACAGTCTCCAACAAGATCAGAGTGGACGGCTGGACAGGTGACGATTTCAAGTGGCAGTCGTCTTGGCACTGGACAGTATGCTGATTGTCAGCAGCCAAGTGCAGTCTCCATCGGGAAATCCGGCCATTCCATCAGCAAAAGGATCTTGCTATTGGACAACGAGGTGTTTATTGTGAGGGCTGTTGGGCAGCGTGGCATTCCACTTCATCCACGACTTGAAGCTTGCTTTGATTGTCGGGGCCCATGAGCCACGAGCACCGGTGGTATCTGTGCGAATTGCTGGGATACAACTCTACGCTCCTGGTCCATTCGTAACTCGTAACTTCCCCACACTCCCCCAGGTTGGGAGTTGCAGTCCGTCGCAGCTGACGAAGACCTGTGGTTGTGGTTGCCGCGAGATTGTGAGAAAAGTATCGTGCAGGTGGATCATCGAAATCATCGTCGGTCATTTAGTCACTTTCCAGACGTCAGCAGAGGCAGCAGCACCAGTAATACGGTCATCCACTACTGTAAGCAGCCATCAAGATTTGCGGATTCGTTTTGGCTTTGGAATGTATATATATATAGATATATTGGAGGTTACATGGCTTGAGGTTGCACTTGAGGTTTTGACAATATTCCCAAGAATCGCTGGGAGCGCTAGTTTGTGCAAAGTTGCTGCCAGGTATTCCCAACAGTCAGTTCAGAATGTTCCAATTTGCAGACAGAGACGGGATACTCGGAGAGTTGATAGCCTTGGCTTGAGCACGACGAGTTGCTGTGTTCCTTGATACTCTGCAATACGGAGCGCATACATATTAAAGGATCAGCTGGAATGGTCTGGTTTGACTACCAACAGAAGCAACGACAACAACATGGCCACCAACAACAGAAGCAATGATAGCCACACTGATGATTCAAAATTTTCGTGTGATTCTGTGGTGGGTGACTTTGAGGATGACTTGTTGTATTTTATTGTCTGCAGAGGCATCATCCAATGGTCCAAACATCTAACATCTCAATCTCATTGCCGAACTCCAAACCAACTGTCCTTAGCGCCATGGCCCCCCATGCAGTCCCTCCGCGGTCAGGGGTCAGGGCGATCAAAAAACCGGCCAAGGCCAAGGCCAAGGCATCCCAGGCAAAGTTGTCATCGGGATGTTTGACCAAACTGCTCAAGGTCTACAAGGGCCTGGAGGATTTTCATCTTCCACTCTTCAAGGAAGTGCAGCGCATTGCCAAGGCAAAAAGGGTTCTGTACCCTGGCAGTCACTGGCACTTGCAGGCCTCTGTGGTTTTTCCAGATGTGACCTATGTGGATTACAACCAGAAAGTTGTTCCATTCTTTGAAGATCCAGCTGTGCTCGCCTGGATCAAGCAGAACAAATTGTACGCTGCAGAGGCAAAAATGAAGTTTTGCCTCAATGATTTCGAGCATCTGAAGCTGCCTGGTGGCTTTGATTTGCTCATCTCCATGAGTGCCGGCATCGTTTCTAAGCCATGCACCCGCTTTTTGCGAATCGGAGGATATTTCTTGGTCTCAGATGCTCATTTTGATGCTCGCACGGTCGCGTTGGACAAACGCTTCGCATTGCTGGGAGTCTATGATATGAAGAGCAAAAAACTAGACACCAAAGATTTGAAATCATGCTTTGTGACAAGCACAGGGCAAAAAATCACCGCTGAGCAAGTGGAAGTGAGCGCGAAAAAACCCAAGGGAAGCAGAGGGTTCAAGCTGCTGCGAGAGGATTGGTTTTATCTTTTCAAGCGTATCAAATAAAAGGCTGCAATGGTGAGGCCAAAATCTCATGTACAGTGGAGGTCCAGAGAGGGTGATGGAAAAGTGGCTGGCATCAGCTTTGGCATCAGGAGGGAGGGGTGATTTGTTATTTGTGGAGTGTTTTTTGCATGTTTGTTTCCTTTCTTGGCGTGCGGCTCAGTCATGGAATTCCGAAAGCTGTGATCAAAGGCATTCAGGGAGACACAACACACAGTTCTCAAGTTGCACTGCCTGATGTGGAAACACTTGGTACTTGTGTTGCTGTGGCGAAGCGGACTTCCATGGCTCACAAATGCTAGAGAGCACCATCAGCACAGAATTTCGCTGCGTTCCATGCGTAGCACATGTCATACGACCGCGTGGTCCTGGCCTGCGCTGCCAGCGGATTTCTTGTTGCGTTTCTCTTCTTCAGCTTCTTTGGGCTAGTGCTGTTGCTTGGCAGGAATGGTTTCAGCCAACAAGGTCTTCTGGTTAATATAGTGTTAATATAGTGGTTTCAAACAATTCTGGGTTTTCAATCTTGATTTCGGTATTTGGGATCATGATAGTCATTCACTGGCATAGCTTGGATGGCTGACCAAACCACCAACCAGCTGTTGCAACTTGAGTGCTGAGGTGGTTTGCCGCTGCTACCTGGCTTCAACAACTTCACCATTTTCGATCTGTGCATGAAATATGAATTGCCGTAACTGCATTTGTTTCGAAAGTTTCTCCCCCTCCGTTTTTTGGGCACAGTTTAGAGAATTTCTGCTTGAAACACGATGAATTTCCCATGGCTGCGGCGACCACTCTGCCAAGGAGAGTGGTGGGTCTCCTTCTGCGAATCGCGTCCCGGCCCTGCTACTCAGCAGCTTCTTGTCCATCAACCTGCATTTTGTTGTCCGCGGCTCAGGGCTGGTTTGGGACTTGAATACTTTTGAATACTCTTGAATGGAATTTGGCTATCATTGATGCATTTTAGAGTTTTGTTATCAAATTTGAGGGTTGTTTCCTTTCGTGGAACCCTAGGCCGCAGTGTTAGGGGATGCTTGAGATCCTGTTTGCACAACAATTGACCAACGCAAGGAGATGGAGGTACATCAGACGCGGGGATGAGCTACTGGCGACCTTCTTTTCAGGCCGTGAAGCTTTGATTCTTTCGTGTGACCGCGTATGGCCTGCTTCTGTGTCCCGGAGGTGCCATGGTGACAGCGGAGGCTCAGTTGCAACGAATCTTCGGCAAAAGCTGAAGCTTTGAGCAGCGAGGCTGATGCCACCGAGGTTCCCATGGCGATCGTGGCTCCCGTGTGGCTAGCAACTTGCAATATGGAGACCAGTGGCAGTTGCAAAATGACCTTTAGAAACCACAGTTGAGAGAATTTTCACTGGAATTTTTGCTGTGTTGACTTCTTGTTACCACATTTTCCAAGAGGAATCATCTTATCTCTCACCCAAGGTGAAATGCTTGATCGATCTGCTTGTGCCAAAGGGCAAGCGCAAGCAGAGGTAGCCGCAGTGATTTCATGCTCGCCTCGTGAAAAGTGCAAGAGGATGATGTGAAAGTTCGATGTGGGGGATTCCAAAATGGGAGCACCCCCTTTCACACCGAAAATGGTTTTTGTTTTCTTTTCTCCATTAAAAAGGACAAGTCTTGGATGATTTTAAGGGGTCCACCATTTACGAAAGCTCCATCTGCCTTGAAAACTCCAGACATGGGATCTCCAACAGGGAGCCCTTGTCCATTTGACATCTGGAGTGGAACAGTGTAGTTGAGCACTTGCAGATGCTCGTAGCGTAGGATATGTCAGCTTTGCCAATGGTCGCAATAAAAAGGCATTCAGGTGACCTTCTTTGGTGAACACAGGGTTCAAAAACCAGTTGGTGACTGTTTGTGTGGCAATAGAATAAGCATGCCCATGCACACAGTGATGACAATCCAGGACATACCCGTGCGCGCAAAGTCACGATTTTTGATCGCTCTTTTCATCTTGTCTTGTCTATTTGGGGGATTTGCTACACTAGGGGTACCCCAAACTTTTGGTTTTCCCATTGAGAATGGGGATTTAGTTGATCTATCTGTTGCTTCGGCTGGCTGTACACACGCAGCATGTGATGCACTTTTTGGGCTCGGCAGCTGTGGATCTAGTACAAAAGGGAGGCGATCCAGATCCAAGGGAGCTCTGCCATGCCGAAGATCGCAGACTTTCCTTACAACAATGCGCAAATCCTGGAACTGGCGAAGCAACTTCCGACACCTTTCCATCTTTACCATGAAGAGACCATTCGGAACACCGTCAGGGGCTTGAACAAAGCCTTCAGCTGGTGCCCAGGCTACAAAAACCACTTTGCAGTAAAGGCTACGCCCAATCCGCACATCATGCAAATCCTCAAAGAGGAAGGCAGGAGAGTGGGGCAGACTGAGCAAATGACGTGGAGACATGCTGTTCCGACAGATGTAATTGGAACGTATGGTGAATTGTAGTAGGTAATGCGGTCTTCACTCTTTAGTGGAATTCCTGAACAGCCATGCCTTGAAGGGTGCTTTTTTTTTGGCGAGGCTGTGGTGCTGACTGCTCCAGTTACACAGAACTGGTCTTGTCCGAACGAATGGGGCTGACTGGTGAGGATATCATGTTTACGAGTAACTTGGTTGAAATGAGGCACTGCGGAAGCCAGGGCGGCTGCGCCTGAGACTCATTCCAAAATCTCCACAATTGAGCTGGGTGATACATTGTTCTTCCCCCATGCCAAGGCAACAACACGCCCCTCAAGGAATACCAGAGGCTCGGCTGGTGGAATTGTTTCAGCAACGAGAAACAGATTGGTCATGGCTGGGAAGCAAACCAAGGGGCTTTTCAAATCCAGGTACCTTTCCCCCAAAAACACCACTGTACCCCCCGAAACCATGTTTCTTGTCCGGTGTTTATTCCATTCATTCTGGTGACGTCAACTGAGGAAGGCCAAAGAGTTGGGAGCCCTGGTAAACCTGGACGACATCTCCCACATCGACTTCCTGGCTGCTGATGGTTTGCCAGAGCTGGTGAGCTTCCGCTACAACCCAGGGCCCAGTCGGACGGGAAATGCCACTTGGACGGTGGGGTTGGTTATGGTTGATTTCAAATGGGAATAGGCCAAACTTGAAGGCAAGTGCGACCTGCAATTTTAGGTGATTTTGGATTCAACCTGTAAGTGTTTGTAAGTGCCATCCTGATTTTGGACTAACTGAAACCAATTTGACTCATCCTGTACTGTGTGACTTGTCTCTCAGGTGCTGATCGGTGACCCTAAGGAAGCAAAGTTTGGCACAACAAGTGACCAGCTGTTAGAGGGCTACCGCAAGTGCAAGGAATTGGGTGTGAAGCGTTTCGGCCTTCATGCCATGGTAGTCTCGAACTGTGACCTGGTGCAGGTGAAACCGAAACCCATTCTTTCGGCCAGGTTTTTTCTTTTTGTCTTTGAGTCTTCAAATCTCTTCGATTCG